GGAAATTTGTGTTGGACGCTGCAGTTACAAGAGAATTAAAAAAAAAAGGTAAATAGAGAGCACAACATATACATAAAAACACCTTCCTGCAGTGGTGACATGACACATCTTACATTACCTGTTATCCAACCATTTATTATCTATACCGCTTTTCCCACTTTGGGGTTGCGGCGGGCTAGAGCCGATCCAAGCTGTTGTTGGGCAAGAGGCAAGGTACACCCTGGACTGTTCACCAGCCAATCACAGGGCTGACATATAGAGACAACCAGCCACACCTACGACCAATGTAGAGCCACCAATTAACCTAACGAGCATGTCTTTGGACTGTTTGAGGAAGCTAGAGTACCAGGAGAGAACAAACCCATTCACAAGGAGAACACAGAGAGGCTCCTGTCAGACGGGGATTCGAACCAGGAACCTCCTAGCTGTGAGGCAACAATGCTACATGATCTGTTATTAATGACACAGATGGATGTTTATAGCGGTTCAGCTAGGTCTGAGGGACTTGTCTGTTATTGCTTGTTGATGAGAAATTGTCTTGGATTTCACCTAACCCTTTAAAAGACACTTACAGAAAGAACCTAATGAATCAGCAATACAAGCATTAAAACACTCCCTTATTAGAGAGCACAACAGAAACTTGCTTCAACAAGTTTGAGGTAAGAAAGGTGTGTAGTCACAGATTTAGACAGGTTTGAAATACTGCAAGACTTTAAAACTAAAACTGAATGCTTCTGTAAACAGGACTCTGCTGCTTCAAACTTGTAGTCCAGCTGAAGTGAATGTAGTCCCGAGCTCCTTGTGACAGTAGAAAAAGAAGATATAGTGTAATATGTTCAGATATCGATCTGAAACCTGGTAGCAACACTCGCCCTCTGCAGTCTGCAGGCCTCTCACACAGTCCCCTAGCAACTCGAGGCAGGACAGAAGCCTCTGATGGATGTCAACTTGTTGAGATGGCACATTTTTAAAGGGAGGGGGAGGGGGTGCGACGGGGGCTGGGAGGAGGAGACGACTGAACACAACTGCCCTTTTCAGCCCCTTCGCCTGCACCCGCACCGCTCACAGCTGTTGCGTGATTGATGCCCGCTCCCTAACTTGTCAGCAGCTCCTCTCCGTGCAGCCTCGTCTCCGGGAGACAAATTCCTCGCCATAGCAGTCCATATATATCTCATTTTGTTCACAACTTTGCATATGAATGGACAAGCATTCGACAAACAAAAGCATTTTCTTCCATCCTCTTCCACCCCCTCTCAACACTTAAAATGTATTTTAAGCTATGTGTTGTTGTTTTTTTTGGAACTTCTTCCCTCATCTTTATTCAGCGTGGATTTGGCCCCCACATTACATCTTCATCTCATTTCCCCTCAAATCCTCATAGACACATTCTTAATCTCTGTGTGCCAGAGATCCATCTCACTGTTTTGTTAAGGCCTACGATATGGTCGCTTTACAAGCCCCCTATTTAAAAAAATCTGTCAATCAAGCTATTTGTTCAGGCAGTGCAAATTCATTTTTCAATTACTATTCACTCCTGGTCCGGATAAGGCCTGAAAAAAAGGAAATCACAGTGACTATTGGTCACAGCGACTTAATCCGCCGATGAATGGGGAAATGCACGTACAGAGCGCCGTGCAGAAATTGTGTCGGGTGAATGAGGAGGAGGACGAAGCTTTTCATACGAGTTAAAAATACATATTTACATATAATGGTATGGGGTCATCAAGTGTAGACCCCGAGTTAATGAAAATGAATAATGGAAAGTGTGCATTAGGCAACTTCAGTAATTACTGTGCTACTCGGCCAAGGTGATTACCCCGAAGGGAACGGCCAGAGGACAAAGAAGTGGGAACTTTCTCCTGCCCTTGATCAGCGCGAGATGTCAGAGGGAAGCGTTAACTTCAGATTAGGATGGTTGGAGAAGTGAGTAATGGACCTGTCTTCTAGGACAGGATGTCTATGGCTGCCTCTGTGCTGCACAGACAAGAGAGCTTGGTGCTTTGTGGTGGTTGGACGGCCTCAAATCTGCTTATAGCCTGAGTACTGTCCTTGTTTTTGTCACATGAGGATGAGTTAACAGGGAATTCCTTCAAACTAGGGTCCTATTTTCTATGTATTTAAGCGTCTCAAATACTAATACAGAAAGTTTGGGGGTTGCTACAGTAAAGGTTCAGAGGGAAGATGTAATCATTGAGAACAAAATGAAAGCACAGACTGGAGTTGTTATTCTAAATGTCTGACAACAGCACAGAAAGGATCCATACAGAGATAGAGCTTTTTTGTTAAATGGTAATGATGACATCACTCACTATAAAGTCACCAGACTCTATAGACAGAAATGGTGATTTAACCTTGTAACACATGGGAGTTGTTGGTCTACTACTACTCCTCTTGAATAGGGAGGAGGGAATGAGTGCACTATGTAGTCCACTACAGAGAATATAGTCTCTGTTGTGGATTATATAGTGCACATTTCCTACTCCCTAGGGAGCTCTCTGTAGTGGACTACAAAGTGCACTCATTCCCTCCTCCCTAAATTGGGAGTATCTGTAGTAGACTATGTAGTGCACTCATTCCCTACTGCCTAAATGGGGAGCTCTCACTAGTGGACTATATGGTGCACTCATTCCCTCCTCCCTAGATAGGGAGCTCTCGCTAGTAGACTATATAGTGCACTCTAAAGTAAGGAGTGTGTGATTTTAGACACAGCCTGCGACCATTTCAGCACCGGTTGGAAAGACAACATTTAATTAAAGAGTCCGCTAACTAACTCAAATTATATTTAACAGCTAAGCTGAAAAAGAGGGACTGATATTTAAGGATGGATAATGCTTCTGGGAAATCTCACAGCTCATAAATAATGAGAGTGATAACTTTTCTTTTACAAGTTTAAAATGTTTTCGGATCCCTCTATCTCACCAGCTGTTTTAATTAAAAATGCTGCCTGATGATATATTTTCACTTATATAAGAGACCTAGAAACACAGAAGAGGAGCTGGAGAATCTGAGATAAGGTGGAAAACATTTGAGGGCTGCGACAAATTATTTATTAGGGAAGAAATCACCGCTGGGAACATGAAATAAACAGTGGACGGATATCAGGGCAGGTAGAGACAGAGAGGCTGCTCAGCAAGCTGCTTTAAAAACTCCCATCTTTTTTAATATGATATTTACGAGAAGGAATCCAAACTCCAATCCATATAATCCTCTCTTTGAAGCTCTGATTTAATGCAAAGACAAGTCAATGCAGATATCTCTCCAGCTCGTGTCACTCTCTGTTACACGTGCACACACACACACATCTTTACAGACACATACACACATGTTACAGATTCAGACGTGGCCTACTTTGGGTGTTGAGGGAAAAGCACAGGATGTGCAGCAGGAAGGCTGATTTTTTCTGTAATCAGAAAAAGCTACAAAATAAACCTGAGAATGATTCCCCTGCTCCTCTTCATGATGGAAAGGTTGTAAAGAAGCGATGTCAGAGGTGCATAGCAGCCATAGCTGAGTCCTTCTCACACACTCTATGAGGTTTACATTCCAGCTTTTCTCAACGGGGTCCGGTATCTTTGAAGAGCCCAAAGTAACAACTGTTACTTAAAGTGAAAATTAAAGTGTTTTCTGCGGTACCTCAAAATCCAGACAGAAGCTAAAAATGTACCCAACTAAAAGTAGAAAATATTCCCAGACTGTTTGATTTAACCTGAATTTTTTCTGGCTTGGGTTTGACACTTGGGGAGATTCTCGTGTGTTTAGGTTAAATCTGTGGCATTATTATTAGTTTGCTGACTTAGCAGACAGGCAACTTAGACCAGAGTGGGGTTTGAATCTGTACTGCAGAGTTCTGTCAGGTTCAGAGGTCCTCATAACACATGTTTTACTGATAGAAGATGATTCAGCTGAAAAACATTCAGGGTGACTACGTGCTTACGCAGGAGATAAAAAGCCTTTTCCTGAAAATACAGGATCCCTACTGAGTGTAGGGAAGGCGTCAGCGTCGTGCATGCACATCATAACTTGTAACTTGTCTCGTTTAATAGGGACTTTTTAACTTTTACCTTCATCATTTAGAGGGCCTGCTGTAAAAGATCTTTTGGTCCTTTTCATAAAATGAAAGTTTGCTCTGGAATTGAATATTCTTAAACTGATTCATGTTCTACAAAGTTAAGGTGGAGGGTCCTTCACCCAGCTCTGACTTAAGTATCAGCCAAAACCAGAATAAGTTTCAACACTGCTACAACAAGTCTGTGTGCTAAAGAGCGTTGAGTTGTTAGTGTTTTAGAGGTTGCACATGTAATGACAGGTTAGCCTGAACATCTAGAACAAATGAATGAATACATGTGGAGATACGTCAGAGTTGTAGAGCCTGAAGGCCTGTCCAGGAGGTTTGTGATACATTATCAGTAGAATGGAGGCACACAGATAAAGGTGCAAAGATTATGTTTAGGGGCGCTGTTTACCTTCAGAGATAAAGCACAGAGCTAACAGGAACCCCCCCCCCTCCTCCCTCTGTGCACAGTAGCTGAGGGTAAAACATTCAGCGGCACCTTGAAATAAACATGTTTGAAAAGGGATTTGGAAGCCAAAGAGCCCCACCCTTCACTCCGAATCCCTCAGCCTGTGTAAATAAGCCATCAGAGGCTGTCACATAACTGTTACACTGACCAGGACAAATGAGGACGCAGGGTGCTCGCCTGGCCTGCCGCCTGCCGCTGACTGTAATTGCAATCTTTCAGACGGGAAATGGCAAATTGCTCCTCTCATCATTAGCGAGCAGCTAAGACAGAAAACAGACATGCAAAGGCCTGCAAACATAATTATAATGACACACTGGGAGCAGCACTGGGAACACATCTGGGGCTTTCCTGAGCCCACTGCTGAACGGCTCAACAGGTCACAAGTGGGGACTTTTTTCCACCCCTCGCATGTGTTTAAATTCAGATCCTGGAAAGCGATCTGTTCTGTGTTTACTTAGCAACGATCGGGGGCACACTTACTCGTGCAGGCCACAGACGGAGGGTCAGAGAGTGCTCGGTAGTAGCCGTCCTCGCAGTCGCAGCGCCACGAGCCCTCGCGGTCGTTGAAGCTGTGTGCCGGACAACGAGAGCACTGAAGGTCCTGGGAAGAAGACTTGTAGAAACCCCGACCGCACGCTGCAAAGAGAGAGAGAGACGGAATGATGTCAAGACACAAAACCAGAACAAAGACAGAAAAAGACAGACAAAAACTCTTACACTTAAACTCTGAATAACAGTTAGAGGAACAAGTATCATGTTTTGAGAAACATGCAAGCAGAATTATCTGTTAGCTGTTAGAGCAGATCTTTGTTTTTTCATGATTTACTGGTTTATTTTGTGATCCTCTGATTGGGAACCATTAGAAGAGAGAGTTGTGTTTTTACATTTTCACTGAGAACTCTACAAAACAAATGGTGTGTCAGGTCTGGATACGTTGGTTTATCTCAAAGCAACACATCCTTAAAATCTGAACAACTTTGAGGTTATATAAATTGTCTAAGGCGGGCCCCAGCTATTACTTAAAAAAATGAAAATAAGCTCAGTAGAAAAAAATCAGAATGCAAACAACAACCTTCTGATCACCAGATCACGGCCGCCCCATCCCCCACACATTTTCACCATCGTCAATGAAGACACTACTTCAGGATGCACGACACAGAAGTCAAGACGTCTTTCTCTTTTGCAAACAGTTGAAGGCTCTCCCTTTTTATTTTGTTTTATTTTTTAAATATGCAAACATCACCTTGTTGCAGCTGACCTACAGAGTTCAGTTTTCAGAGGAAATTGGATAGTTAAAGAGAGGACTCAAAAGACCCCCTCACCCAATTGGTTTTCCACCAACACCTGTTTATTTTTGCAGACAACTGCACAAACAATTTGGTTCCTAACAGTGATTTAGGATTGAAATGTGTTGAAGAATTGGAGACTTTTATCATAGGGGACACAGTTCAGTTTCAACACAGGGCCCCTCTCAGGTGTAAACACGGCCATGCTGGTATATAAGAATTCAAAATAAAGCCTCTCTTAACCAGGAAGTCTGAAATTCTCACAGCGTTTTCTTATTTAGTAAACCCAGCTAAGCCGGGTTGACACAGGTAGACATTCACTGATGATCTCAGCAGTCATTACAAATCACTGAATGTCTCCAGGTGATATTAGTCCTGTGCAAACACACGCCTGAAAGAGTCCTCACTTCACACCTGAGTTCCCATCATGAGTGAGACATGACAGAACAAATCACTGTGTTCACTAATTCAAGCAGCCGGTGTCTGAATGAAGCTTCCGCCTCAGGCTTCATCACGCACGCCCGATCCCAGAAACAGCATCATGTCGAAACATCGGGGATAAAAACCACAGCCTCTCAGTTTGAAAGGAAAATAACAAGGCTATTTCTGTTTGGATGGATCGCCCGGGTCAGCAAAGAGGTCCAGCTTGTTTATAAAAGGTCCTATCTCTGAGAGGAAACATTCTTCAGCAGAGCAGAGAGATAAGAGAGTAGAGGACGCGGATCATTTCAACATCGTACCTTTGACCGGGGCGGTAAACAAACCTCAGACTGATGTGTGTAATCTGGACGGAGTCGGCACTTGCCTGTGCGCCGGGAAAGTCATCAAAAGAATTACACGCCAACACTCCGATGATTCAAACACAAACGTCCCAACAGATCCACAGGACTCAAAAAGAGCCATTAGCAAATAATGACGAGGGCTAAATGGAAAAACAAAATCTGATGACTCATCCACAGTGACTGTGAATCACAGGCTGTCGCACACAAAAGGGAATTTGGGCACTTTTCAAACATCCTTGTATTACTTATTTTTGGATGTTTACAAGAGAACAAGTTGAGCTGTAAAAAGAGCAACCTGTTGTTGTGTTTTGGCTCTTCATTTAAATGACATCAGCTGGTTTTAGGATGCATGAAACAAAAGTTCCAGAGTGCAAACGTCTGAAAATGTCCCGGTGTCCTTTGACTGGAAGTAGTTTCTCTGAGGCTTTTAGCACATGCACATTAACAGGTCCAGTGGATAGCCATGCGCGAGTAGGTGGATGAAGACAACAACAATGGCAAACTCCTGAGTTCTGTTTGTGCTGCTCATGTAACAACACATGTTCAGCACAGTGTAGTAGTGTTGTAGTCAAGACAAGAGTGTGGGCCAATTATTCAGTCAGACCCCAAAATGTGCAAAAATGAGGGCACTAGAATTCCCATTAAATGTTTAAATACCAGTAAAGAGTAAAAAATACTGGCTCTGTTCATTGTGGTTTCAGAGACGATGAATCCTCTGTGACCGTCTTTGTGCAAAACAAGTCTAAGCCTGTTGAAAAAAAAAACCCCCAATCTGAGCCACACGACGTCCTTAACAATCTGAGAGAAATCGATACGTCTGTGAATATCTCTGCATACAAACTATGATATTACACCCAGGATGCATCTTTCATGAGCCACTGGGTGGAAATTGAGCAATGATTCTCTGACTGGGCACCTGCCAGTTCACATCTCAGCTCTGCTTCTTCTTTGTATCCGATTTGCAGGGGGGGGGGAATAAATTGGCCACCACCTCCTCCTGCGACAGGTCGGGGATAAGAAGGATATAGAGGCATCTGAGTTTTCTTATTTTAACACTTCCAGAGCGCGGACCTGAAGAGAAGAGGCCGGGGCTCGGGGTATCCCTATTTCAGCAACATGAAAGCCCTGTCAGTCTCCATTTATCGCTCGGCCCCCTGAAACAAGAGCGCTTCTTTTTTTTTTATTCTCAAAGAGGGGAAAAAAAGACATGATTTTATCTCTAATCTTTCTTTACCTTTTCAGGCCGGTAATTGAAAACAGAGCCAACGAGGAGGCTGCTAGCGGTGGGTCTTGAATGCTGACCAGGCGAAACACACACACACACACACACGCACACACACACACACACACACACAGTGTACAAGTGCTCACTCATCATTCTTAGCTGCTTTTTTACTTTATATAGCGCTCTGATGAGCAATAATACTTGAGAGGCAGACGAGGAAACTATCTCTAGTTGCTGTATCTGATACAAAGTGTAAACAGTCCGCCCCCCCCCTGCAGATGTTGATAATGACACTGAAGGGCTTTCTCCAGCAGGTTAAAGATTGGCTAGATCCCGTCTAAGACCGCGCTTTCTCCCACCACGCCACGTTGTTTAAACATTCTGATAAGCCATCGTGTGTCTTGTTTGCCTTCGGGGTTTGTGAGAGCTCGTCTGCTGGGTGGCCGGTGTGCAGGGGACCCAGGCTATCTCCCATCGAGACCACCACTCCAGCAGACAAAGAGGATCCAGAGGTCCAGATTAGGACGAGAGCGAGAGCCTGCGGCGGAAAATAAACACATGTCTACTGGAAAAGTGCAATTTATTGCAGCTTCACTTTTATTCTCGTAACTTTTACAGGTTTGGTTTAGTTTTTTTTTTTAAACAAACAAAACGCAGTTCATGACTTTAACTCTACACTGTTTCAATTTCATTCTCTTTTCCCCCCAAACCATACCGTCGTAAATCTGCCTGGATTGAAATAATAGATAGTTTATGCGTAGGTTTTAGTTTCCAGATGTAATGCTGCTCAATCATCACTTGTGGGCCTCCATTGATGTGTGGTAGTGACTGTCTTCTGTGTTTTGATAGATTTTTATATTTTAATCGACTGGGGACATTACTGGGTGGGGAGTAGATGTGTTTCCTCCAGCCAATGACAGCATGCAGTTGAGTTAAGGAGGAAAATATATATTCATAGTAAAGCAAAACGCCAAGCAGATAAAACTGGTTCCAAGACGAAGGTGAACCTTGAGTTGGTTGAAGCCATCCTGCTTTCTATTGGACAGTCAGGGGCCAAACAAAGCGGTTAGCTTGTGTTAGCTTGATAAATTAATGGCTTTTTCATTACAACAAATGTTCTCAGGTAGCTTGCAGTAAACGTACAACCTGCAGTGGACGCGCTATGAGTCCAGTTTGAATGTTGTGAAGAACATTTTATTGACTCTACCTTCAAGTAACCTTCATGTTTACAACCTGTCTGATTTCCTTGCTGCCCTCATTTGCTGTTTTTTTTTAAAACTCTATTAGTCATGTGTACAAAGCTGCACCTCGTCTGTTATCAGTTTATCTCCACTGTTTACCGACTGTCTGTACTGTAACAGGCTGAGCCTTTCTCTGGAAGGAAAGTGGCTTTGTGGGGAACATATGCATGTGATCTAGTCCGACCAGTTTATTTCTTTACTGTTGGAAGTGAGTCAAACAGAAGGACGTCCAATGGACACAGTAAAGTTGATGCTTTCTTCGGGGTTGTTGAGTTGCAGCATTCACTGCTCTCAGTCACATGACCGACTCGGGAGACCTCTTTCATGGTATTTCTTTGTGTTGTTTTTCCAGACACGGCCTTCGTGTTTGTCAGTGCGTCCGCTGTGTTTGGCACCCGGAAATGTTTACAGAAGCAACAAGGCGGCAAATGAGGCCTCAAAAAAAAAAAAAACCCGAATGCCTGCATGACACAAGCAGCTAAGTGTTTCTGCAGCTCTACCCCACCACCACTGGCAGCTCATTGAGTGACAAGTACAAACACAGGCGTCCCGGCTCGGCATTCCTGTCCCAGCAGCAGCAGCACTCAGTGCACACTGACTCGACGCTGGTGAGTTTCCGTTCCTGGCACCAGCTGCTGGAGAGACGCTCTCTTAGTCGCATCCAGACGAGATGATAGTGAGTGAGAGCTTCCCTGTCGAGTGTCCCTGCAGCTACACTTTCCTTCTGAGTGGAAATATCTACAAAGCAATTACACAAGTCTGTTTACTAAGTAGCTTCCTTTAAGTGAGAAAATGACCCACACACAACTGACACACCAACACGTTGACACTTTGAACTCTATACTCAATGAGTCTGCCACCGTTGTTGTTTTTTGGAGTCTCTTTGAGTTCTTCATGGTCCTAAAATCTGACCAGAACTGAAGATATAACATAATGAAAGACACATTTTGGAAAATATGCTGATCCAAAAATATGAATGTGATGGGTGCACGACTACAGGCCGTCTGCATGCGACGGCTATGATCTCTGTGTGCGTCATTTAACTGCTGTGTTATGTCTCCCTCGCTGTGAGGTACATGTATGAACAACCAGATCTATAGGA